CTTTCTATAGAAGTCTACAGTGCCTCGCCATAGGGACCCCCCCTATTTTATTAATATCCAACATAAAACTAACAATATCGATGAATTTCATGCAAAGAGGAAGGAAAGGGAAGTATTCGTCCAGGTTGGCTTGAAAAAAAGTTGTGGAACTTGAATGAGTGCAATTTCTGTACTCTTGGTAGGGGAGAAGGACATCTTTACTTCATTGAACGAGGCGGTAGAAATTGGCAAAGGCCCAGGATGCTTTTCCACGAATGCCGCCACCACCCACACTGATGCCAAGCATGAAAGGACCTTGGGCGCACCCTTGCGACACGGCTGTCCTGCCCGGCGGCCTGCTACGTCATCGTCACGTCATCATCTTTACGAAGATGTGAGACTCCGATCACCACTGCCGACCAAATGGTCTACCACAACCCGAAAAAATCGAAAAATTTTTGGCTGAAGTTCGTCTATAGGGGTAATCGATAGTCCTGATTACGATTTTGACACTTATTTTCGGCGTCGACGCAATTTGGCGCCAGTATAGCGCTTAACGTCTCTCATATGGGGGTACATATACTTTTCGCTCCTTTTTTGGCGTTCCTGGGGCCGCTCAGCGAAAATGAACCCCACTTCTGTGGTCTATGTTCAAGCCCCTACAAAATGCAAAAAACCATTTTGAAAAAGCGGGGCACGCCCTGAACGACCTTCCTCGTAAGCCCCAGTAGTGTTCTCGTCTCTTTGCGTTCTAGACCAAGGACCAGGATCTCGTGGATTCTTTCATTTGCCTAACGCGGAGAATGACTTTCTGATCCTTTCACAATTAAGGTCCCGGTTCTTATTCCTTTCACAAAGCTTGCTTGCAGCCTATTCGCTCGCCCTCGTCCCGTGTATTGTATTTTTTCACAGCACTATTTCCTGTTTTTTTTAAATTGAATTGCATAGGTCTGTGGCACACCCTAGAGTGTACTCAAATAAATAAATAAACTACAAGTGAGAAACGATCAATCCAATTCAGCGCGTTGCCGCATGAGGTCATACCGTAACTCCACATCACGTCTACAGTCCCAAGTTCTTTTAACATCTCAAATCAATAAGAGTTAGTAGTAAAAATTTCAAACCTTCCTGCCCGTGTTCAAGTGGTTCCTAGCACTACCGAAGCTAGGAAAAGCGGTCCTTATACCGTGAATGTTCGCAAGAAACCGCTTCGAAAGACCGCTTCACATCCTTCGAAACCCTACTGGTTAGTGGGCTCTTCGAAGGTGGGTTATACCGCTTGCAAAAAGGGATGTCAGTGTCAGCCAGCCTGGGCTGCGGTTGCTGTCCGCCTTCAGCAATGTACCATAATGACAATCGCACCAGCTGTCGTAAAGACTATGTCAATTTCAGGAAATCCGTGGTTCTGTAACAACGACCTGCTGTGGTTCCGGCAGCTACTTCGTGATAATCTCGATATCGATATAGAAAAACCTGGATGTCTCGCCACGTGTGCTGCGTCACCAACCGGTTGCCCAGCCGAGGGCACTCCGCTGCGGTAAGGTTTTTGCTGATTGCTCTCTGATTCCTTTTTACATTATCGGAGGAACGGAAAATTGGGTCCTCTACCGATTGTGGTCGGTACGCACTCTGTTCCCACTTCTTGACGTTAGCATGGATTGAGCTGAGGAGATAGACGTCGTGGCGAAGCAGTTTCGCAAGTGGCGCCACTTGTTAACATTCGCACCAAGGCCCACTTTATGCAACGAGAAAGTACTGCAGCATGTTGACTCAACTAGCTTTAAATAATCCACTGGTTTCGGCCCGCCAGGAGACGGGCAAGAGAATCGCAATTTGCCGCTCCGCCGCGCGCGGCGTTTTCTTAACTCGTGTTAACCTGTCGACTGGAGCACCGGACTTCATGTAGACCCCGTCATCGTAGACATTCATGACTATTTTCGGTTCTGAATTGCCTGTTGTCGCCATCTACCCTCGTCACCGCGGGCAGTTGATTAGGGCGGTCGTCAACGGGCCGCAGCGCGTGATGTACCAGGAACTAGTTTGCTTTTCCCAGATGAATTTAGTCTATTTTTCCAACTTTTCACTGTTTTGGCTACTTTTTCCCAGATTAGCAGCTCCTTATCTTCACAAGGTGGAAAAAAATGACTAAATTAGCCTGGAAAAGCAAATAGTTCCTGGCACGCGCTGCGGCCCGTTGACGACCGCCCTAATCTGCCCGGATGACGAGGTTATGTTCTACCTGGGCATCGCAGTTGTACGGCGCGACGTCGCACGCGACGTCCACCAGCGCGGCGAATTACGATTCTTTTGTCACATACCCTGGCCCGCCACCCCAATGAGAATCTCCTGGTTTACTCCATTTCCTGGTCGGCTATGGATGACAGGTCTCCAACACGGAACTCCTTATCGTTTTCATTTTTCAGGGCAGTCGACTTCTGTTTGGAAAACGAAGAACCGCAACCACTCACTGGAAGAGCGCTATCATTAGTTGGATGGATCATACTTGGTGAGGATCGGTTTTATCCAATTTGTCGATTTTCACTTCTATACAACTTATTAGCATCGTGAGTCAAACTTATCAAATAGACTCAGGGGGGAAACTATCGACTTTTCTGAACGTTTCGTTTTAGTCAATATTTGTCTACACGTAGATGGAAAATTTCGCGATATTGGATTAGGGTCGGAGAAGTGCGTAGAGATCTCATCCATTTGTGACTTTTATTCATTGGTCCCCTTCCACTTTTTACGACATGTTAGAAAGAGGATTGACATAACGAAACCACATGTTACGAGTCTCGCCCATCCGCGTCATCGGTAAATGGCTCATTCATATTAGCTGGACACGCCATGAATATGCGGAGTGGTCGGACCACTGTAACCATCAGAAACCATACTGACATGGATAGTGGAGCAAGTGCTCGTCAAATGTTCTACACAATTTTTCGTTTTCTAGTCAGCCGTTCGCTATCTCAGTGAGAAAATTTCAAATGTTCAAAAATTTAAGAAATAAATTTTAAGAAAATAAGAGCAGATACAAATAAGGAAAAAAGTTTAATCTAAATGCTAAAATGTTCCAGTTTGCTCACTATAAGCGTTAGTTCGGCTTGGTGGGGTATTTTCCCAGTTTCTTTCGATCATCGCTGATGCCTACTGTACAGGACCTTTAGTTCCTTTGATGCTTTGCAGCAGTACAATCTTCATTTATACTCGACGAATAAGTTGATGGTATCACCAAAGTTTGACGGGAATGAAAATGACGGCTCTAACAAAATGAACTTGGGCGGGAGTGCGAAATACCTCGCAAGTCGATAATAGCCGCCAAAATATCTGAAGAATAAAGATAGCAAATCAAATTAGATAAGCAGATAATTAGATAAGCATTTGTTTAAATACACTAAATACACGCTACTCGCTCCTGAGCAGCTTATCACTACAGCAAGGTGAAGTGATTTAGCAATTATCATGACGATTCTTCTAATATCGATCTGTCTTCTCGCCATGGTACGATATGGTATGAGTCACCGACGGAAAAAACAAAAGGACCAAGAGATCGAAGACGAGGCTCGATTTATGTCGTCTGCAGGTGGGTATCAACAAAGACCGATGGGTAACACATAATCTCTAAGAATCGCGCCCTTTTGCTGTTTTGAGTTCTCTGTGAGGTGAGGGTAGCCAAGACATTGTGCGAAGAGCTGAGCCATTTAGCTCGCCGGTCAGAGCTTGTGCATCCATTCAGGCCGTAGTTTCGTGCTTTAGCGAAGAGCCTTAGAACCGGGTAGCGATGCATCGTGAATCCGGGCTTATCCGCGGCTCGAGTATCGTGCGAGAAAAACCGCGACTCACTGTCAACAAACTACAAGTGGAAACCTACGCGAAGAAAAAAAACACCTAAGTCATATGAAAAAGTGACGGCATCGCTCGGAGTTCCTCTAGTTCTACTCGTCTTTCTCAGAGAAAACTGGTTTTTCACAAGCGTCATAGACATGAGAAGGGCTGCAACTGCCTCTTCTCTGCTTTCCTACTCTGGTATTCCTAGCCACTCGTACGGATGTCGGGGCATATCAGAACGGTGAGGAAAAGCGGCCATTCAGCACCCTCCCCCATTCAGGCAGTTCCTATCTCATTATTTTCAGTTTCTCAGAACAAAATCAGACTCACCGAACTAAATGGAAGACAGGGAACAGATAGGAAACGCCATCTCTTACCGGAATCCTTACCCACTTGACCTCAACAAAAGAATTGAAGTAGCACTCCCACCTCTGTCGGTGGTTATTCATGGATGAGTGCCTTGATTCCATTATGATTTGGCAGTGATAGAGGATAGGTAGAGTGCATTCGTTCGCATGGATAGAGACCCCACCCTGCTCAGGAACACCGACCCTCCAAAGCAAGCCTGGGGCTAAGATGTTGGGATCACACGGCCATACAACGTGTTGCCAACTCTGATCACCAAAGGCGCAGACGTTGGTGCTCAGTTGTGTCTGAAGCTTCCATGACCCGTTCCCATCCTGACCCTTCCCTCCTAAACCATTAGGAATGGCGAACTGTTAGGAATTTTAGCGAGAAAGGATTTCGTACGTTGACCGGCTTCACGCACCGCTTTGGTAGCGAAGCACTTTCAAATAATTCTGCAGTTGTGGATAGAGAGAAGACGTGATGTTATCTAGGGGAATCAAGCAACATCAGTCATTTTGCGCTTGCACTCCTTATCTTGAAGATGTGGAGGGCGTGCCTGCGCACTTCATTTGAACGCAGCGCAGCATGCGCCATGTCTTTGGCTACACAAGGCCATTAAAATGTTTTCGCTCAAAAAGGCAATGTTTCACCAAAAGCGCAGTTTTCGCCACGTTTAAATAAAGAACCTGGCCACGCTCATCGCATCTAAGGGATATAAAGCTCGTGTGTTCATCGCTGCGCTGCATTAACTGATTTGTTTAATATTATAACATTTCAGCATCGATGTATGGCGGTGGTGGTATATCGGCTATAGATCGCCCGTACTCCACTCTACCACCGGTAAATCTCGATCTACCACCTGCTCACACTCTTGACGATCGGCCAACTAACTACTTCTATTGAATGGCATCTACCTGTCACAAGTGATGTGAAATCACTATTGCTCACAAGCGTGTTCTTACGCGCATGCAAAACCCAGCTGTCTTCCCATACACGGGGCTTTCACGCACATGAACATCACACAATGTTTGTATCATAGAGCGGTGCACTTTATCTTATTTTTCATATTTGTTCATAAATTTGTTGTTATTGATTTTGTGTACTGATCCGCGAAAAGTTTTGGAATTGACATAACTCTTTAAAGGCACTTCCCGCTACTGCACATCGTAGGTACCAAAAAAATGAGCGCATTAAGCTATTTGCCTAAGTAGTGAAGAAAAAACTATGAAAAGCCGCCCTCACTACGACTGGTTCGGGAGCTGGACGGGTCAGGGTGACTAACCAAAGCAAATACTGGGTTCGGCTATTTTAGGTTGAAACTTTCTCTGAATCGGGCAACCCACCCTACCTTTCAAACTTCTTGTCTAACAGATGAAGTATACTTTAGCCTGAATCAAGACCCGTACCGAGAGTAGCTCAACGTATTCGAGTTTTGCCGAAAGAGAATCGCAAGCAGGACCACATGTGCGACATTCGCACCAAAACCTAATTAAGGCAGCGTTCATACTTCGCGACAGCAGTGGCGATCACGATCGCCGCGATAGCGTTTCACATAGTAGCCATTATTGAGAGAAAAAGGTCTCACATGTTGGATTTCCTTGTTTATCGAAGCGAGCGGTTCAAGTAATAGCGCGGGGGCGCGCTCTGCCCTCTGATCGCCGCGATCGCCGCTGCTGCCTGAAGTATGAACGCTGCCTAATCCAGCTTACCATTAGCTGAGCTGTCCACTGTCTAGAAATGCACTGGTAACTTGCGCCCCCCCCCCGCTGAAAGTCGAATGTGTGGCACCACACG